GAGAGAGAGAGAGAGAGAGAGAGAGAGAGAGAGAGAGAGAGAGAGAGAGAGAGAGAGAGGGAAAAGGACCGGAAGTGGGGCTATGGCGAGAGAGAGAGAGAGAGAGAGAGAGAGAGAGAGAGACGCACCGGCGAACAGGTAAGTCTCCAACCCCGCGTCTGGCCTCGGGTGCGTTGCTCATTCTACCGATGAAAAACTCTCTCTCCCTCTCTCTGTCTCCCTCTCTCTCTCTCTTTCTCTCTCTCTCTCTCGCGCGCGCGCGCGCGCGCGCGCGTGCGCGCGCGACTAGCCACGTGGCAGGCCATTTTTCTTTTGTTTTTTTCATAGGAGATGGCTATGGCGGGATCTTTGTCACGTTGTTTGGCAGAGGAGGAGCGGGAGAAGGAGCGGGAGGAGCGGGAGGAGCGAGAGGAGCAGGAGGAAGGATGGGAAAAGGAGAGGGAAAAGGAAGAGTGGGAGGAGGAGCGGGAGGCGAAATTCGAAGGGGCGGAGAGCCGGGGGAGGAGGAGCTGGTGAAGGGGGAGCGGCAGGGGAAACTGGAAGGGGGTTAGGAGAAGGAGCACGAGGAGAAACGAGAAGGGGCGGAGGAGGCGTGGGAGGAGGGGCGGTAGAAGGAACGGGAGGGGGAGCGGGAGGGGAAGAGGGGAGGGGGTTAGAAAACGCTCGGGAGGCAGAGGAGGGGGAGGAGATATATGTGGAGGAGAAGAAGCGAAAGGAGCACGAGGACGAGCGGGAGGAGCGGCAGGAGGAACAGGGGAAAGAGCAGGGGAAGCAGCGGGAGAAGGAGAAGCAGCGGGGGCGAGAGCGGGAGGAGGAGGAGGAGGAGGAGGAGGAGGAGGAGGAGAGGGAGGAGCAGCAGGAGAACGAGCGGGAGTGGGGCTATGGAGGGATCTTTGTCACGTTGTTTGGCGGAGGAGGAGTGGGAGGGGGAGGAGGCGGAGGAGGAGGAGGAGGAGGAGTGGGAGGAGCAGGAGAAGGAGCGAGAGGAGGCATGGGAGAAGGAGCAGGGAAGGAGTGGGAGCGAGGCTATGGTGCGGGAAGAGAAGCGAGAGGAGGGGGAAGAGGGACGGGGGGAAAAGCAGGAGAAGCAGCGGAAGGAGGACGAACAGCAGGAGGAGCGGGAGGAGTAGCAACAAAGGGAGCGGGAGAAGGAGAGGGACGAAGAGCGGGAGAAGGCCTGGAAGCGGGGCTATGGC